TCTTCCATCTTTGCAAATCCAAAGACCGGTGTTTTCACACCTCACTGACTGGTAGATTCGGTTCTTTTGGGCATCAAAATTGCAACATTTGTTACATTTACAACTTGGGCGGTTCACACTCGCACTGCGTCACATGACGATTTAGGTCTGGCATTTGACTGCTCCATTCAAACACATGGACGGTAGACGTCCAACCCAACTGTCAAGTCTTTTGCAGCCTCTAAATTTATTTATTTTTTTCCTGGCATTGATCAATGTTTAGCCCCATTAATCGTCCTATGAATTACCAGCTTCCCTGTTAAAGAAAAGCATGAAACTGCCATCCAGTGTTTTACAACTGGGATGTAAAACATCTTCAGGTTGATGTTTGTCGTCAGTCTTTCTTTACATACGACGTTTAGCATGTAATCTCAACTGTGAGATGGCTTTCAACAAGCTCTAACTAATGCTGTTATCTTTGCCAATCTCCCATAAAGGGAGCAACTAAAATTTATCCTGTCAACAGAATCCCCTGTCTGAGCTGTAGATCCTTCAGAGTCACCATGGACCTTCTGGTTACTTCTCTGAGTAATGCTCTCCTGTCACTTCAGAAGGACATCCATGTCTCATTAAGTTTGAAGTCGTGCCTTCCTCTTCTGTTCAATTCGTCTTTTTCAAACAACGGACCAAACAGTGCTCTGCGGGGTATTGCTTTGAAACCCGAACCCTGCTTTAAACTTCCCCACAACTTTCTGCCCGACCTGTCTGCTGTGCTCATGCTCTCCAGCAAACCGAGACAGCTGTGGTTATTCTGAGATTAAATTACACGCCGATGGATTTTAGTTACCGAATATAAGACTTCTGAAAGTATTTGGTTGCATTTCATGTCAAGCTGAAAATGTATGTTAACATCCAACCTTTTCCTTCCATTTCACAAAGATCTTCAAATCCTCATTGACAGGACATGCAAATAAGCGGAAGAAGATTTGGTTTGGGCTCAGCTGACTGAATTTATCGCCCCATGGCACTAGTCTTCCCTGGGCAGCGAGCCATAAAGCCCTAACCAAACACTGCCTCTGGGTAAAGCTCCTGGGGTTTTAGTTTGTTCCCAGTCACAGTGTTTAATTTAATTTCACATTCACTGAAATCTATCAAGAAGAGCTATTTTCTTGGTTCGTAAATGTGAAAGTAGAGATAAAATGACCCAGATCTACTAACCCCAATCCACAAATGATATTGAGCTTCTCCTCCAGCTGGATCAGTGCATTGTTATTATTGCACTCTGATGATCTGATTTCATGCTTTAAGCACACATCGGTGCCCCGGGCCGCCGCGGTGCGTAGTCAGAAAATGTGCTGCGGAAAAAGAAGCACAGAACAAGCCTCAGAGGGTTCGAGATGGAGCCTTCAAAGTAATACATGATTTAACAGCCCCGCTAAAAATCGGACAAGAGAAAGAAGAAAGTCGATGAAACTTGCGACGTTGGAGTTCGCCAAAGGTGGTCTTGTGGTTTTTACCTTCAGTTTTATGCTCCTCAGGTACATCGTTTTAGACAACGGCCTCGCAGCTCTGCTCATCTCTGACTTCAGTGGGCCGGCGGTATCAGAACATGATGACTTGGACAAAGAAGAAGAGGGGGACGATGATGACGACGAAGAAGAAGAGGAGGAGGAGGAGGAGGAAGATGAAGACGATGAGGAGGAGCATGAGGATGAGGCTGACGTGGATGAAGGCAGGGAAGACAAGAAGGGAGCTAAAAAGAAGAGAGGAAGTGCAGACAAACAGGTACCACACTGGTGTTTTACTGAAAAGCCTCTTTTAGACTGTAGCCTGCTGTACAAATGCTCAACACCCATTAAGTTTTCTTTTAAATGCAGATATGTTTATTTTTGCAACTTTCATTTTTTTCACTTATATTCAAATCAAAGTAAAGAAAAAATTATGTAAAAAAAACAAAAAAAGTGAAAGAGAAAGGATGAGTACAAGTCAGCAGAGAAGACAACCAAAAGTTTCAGAAGAGTGAATAAAATATGAACCCAAAGCTAAAGGAATGTTACAAGAGTCTGCAGTTTGAATTCAGTTTCATGAAGTTGAGGTGTATATGGTAACATTTCCAGTAATTACAGTAAAGTCTGACCAGACGTCCAAATGCAGCAGTTTGGATACCTAGCAAACCAACATCCCCTGGAGGGCCTTAAAAGCAACCTGCCACTATCCTAGTGTGGCTGAAATTTACCGCAGTGACAAAACTCAGAAAGCTGTCAAATAAAACACAAATTATTCTCCTTTTCTGACCAGATTTGTTAGACAGTTGTGCATGTCTGCATGTTCCCTGATGTAACTTTATGTTACCAAGCCATCCAGTAGTTGTGCAGTTCTCAGTTCCTTCACCTGATTAATTAGCATTTATTCATGGGATATTAGTTGCACTCCAAAAACGTAGTCATGAAAACATTATTCCAGGTACATCGTCTGACGCAGCTCTCAAATCCTACGAGCCCATGTGGAGTTAGTTTAGCCACAGCATGCTGTTTTGCTTTAAGACGTCACTTAAAGGAGCGGTACTATGCATTTTCCTGGTACGTAGTGCTATTTCTATAGCACAATTGAGCTTTGCAATTGGACAACTTGAAATTAGCCTCTGTCTCTTTAAGAAGCTCTATGATACCGGCATAGATATTTGCATGAAAAACACTCGCAGTGCCTTTCTCTGTGTTGCTAATTGATGCCCATCCTTTGCTTTGACATATTCCTGTTAAAAAGGTCATTTTATATTTATCCAGTGAACAGTCTGTGTCCTATGAACAATACCAGTCCACTGGACTCTGGGGATTCAGATGACACACCGTCATCCATGTATAATACAAGGTTACCAGGCTTTTTACTGATAGTTATTTATCTGCTGCTTTAGAAAAAAAACAATAGAAAGGCTGATTATGATTTATTCATGTTCTATGTTTTTAGTATTCAGAGATTTTTGCCATTTAAAAATAGTTATTCCACATAAAATTAGCAACAAACTAGAGCTTATCTGCTGATAAAAGAAACTTTTGGTGCCATTTCCGGTGAAGACCTAGTAAGTTTGCATCTTGCTCAACTTGTCAGCAGCTTTCAGCTCGTTTCTTGTTGTCTCTCAAAGTTCAAAGTATTTCTTTAAATTCCCGCAGAGGGTCCAATAAAGTGAAACTTCCTAATGCATAATTCAACAAGTCCATTTAGATACTTGTTTGAAAAACAACAGCCGACTCTTCCAGGGCGAAATTGCTCTGAACAGTGAATCAATGAAACAAAATAACATTGAAAATGTGGTCAAAGCTTTAAAGACACAGATTTCAATATTGTTTTGCAGATTCCACAAAAAAAAACAACAACCTGAACCTCAAGTTTCTTTTTTTTTCACCTGACAGCCATACCTGAAACCAGTTCTGTCTCCTCTCAGACCCAACACTGCTTCCTAACTGCTAATTAGAGGAAACTACATTTTTGAATTAATTTAAGTTGCTTATCTAGAACATTGGATGAATTTTTACCAGGCCAAAAAAAAACAACAAAAAACTGCACTTTTGGTCTCTACCCTTAAACCATGAATATAAATTGCCATATTACTGTATTTCTTAACTTAGAGGTAAAGTCAGACATTCGGTTTATCCGTAAAATGTGACAAAAATAACAAGTTTGCAGAGGACCTCTTGTAAGAATTTTAACATGCTGTGTTTTGTGGCTGGCATGATGATGCAATATGCGAGAAATATGTTTTGGGTTTTATTTCTTTTGGATGTGAACTTGTAAGTGTTTTTTTTTTTTTTTTTACTTTACTGAAAATACAGCAATCAAGACTAGGGTACACTCGTTTTATTTTTATTTTTGAAGATTTTCCCTAGTGCATATGTGTGAATTATACATCAGTACTTGCACTCTAATATTTGAATTAATGTTTTTTAGGGAATTACAGACAGATCAGCATTCTTCCAGGTAGAGTGCCCAAGTTGCTTTATCCCTGTAATTTAACCAGATGTTACTTCTTCAGATGACATTTAGCCTTTTATTTTTTTTTTATTGCAGCTGCAAATTTTAGTCAAACTTAAAGGTGTTGAGTTTTGAGAAGGAACTTCTCTCCTGCTCATGTTAAACTAACTTCACTGTTTTGTGTTCAAGCACAACAGTGATCCCAAAGACGCATTAAAAGTGAGTTTGGCTGGCTTACATCGTTAGAGGTAACTTTTAAGGTTGGGCTACTGTTTCTGATTGGAGAATTGGTAACATATGAGGCCGAAGTTATACCAAAAGCTTGTCGATGTTTACCCGAAGCCTGTGGTCAAGTTGGGATATGCAATCAAATATTAATGGGCTGTGAAAAAAAGTCATTCCTTTCCACTGTCACCTCGTGCTTGATCAGGATTGGATTCCTGCAAAGTCAAACAATAACTTGACTTCCTTATGCCGTTTCACCAGCTGGCATTATGAACTAAATTTGACTGCTTTGTTCTGTAACTTGGGTCAAATGGGAATGGGTGTCAATTAATTTGACCTACTTTTAAAATCGGAAAGTGTTGGGTTTACTTTCTTTATATTGGATCACTTTGTTTTGTAAAGTGCTTTGAGCTGCATGGAAATACAAAGAACTGAATAATGAATCCTCTGGAAAAAGAACAGTTCAAATGCATAATAGAACAAAAGTGAACATGCTATCTAATGCATTATGCAGTGAAACCGCATATAACCAACATGGGATCACTCAATGAGAAAATAAAATGAATGCATGCTATGATACATAGCAGCAAATGATGCGACTACATTCTTTTCCCCTGCTCCCATTACCGTTGTGTCTCTTTTGTTCTTCTCTGCAACTGCGTTGCTTGTAGTTATTTAACAGTCACATTTCTCTGACAATCAGGACAAGTCTCAAAGATAATTTGATTTCTCTGTGTTTAAGTCTGCAGCGGCTCTGTGTGTCGGCGTGGGCAGCTTCAGCGACCCCAGCGACCTCCCAGGCCTCGCTCACTTTCTGGAGCACAGTGAGTAATTAACGCCGGAGAGTCCAATCGAGTTCCTCCTTTTCAGCGCCTTGATACAAAACCGAGATGGGACAATTAAAGGGCTGATTCGATGTGAAAAAGGTAACTTGGAACGGTGGATTCTGTAGATTTTATCCACACCACCGATCGGGACTTTTCAAACCAAATAATATTTGGATGAGAAAAGCTCCTAACTGAATGAGGTTATTGTGAGATTTAGTCAATTAATCCAAATTGTGGAAGAAAGGAGTCTCAGTGCTTCCTTTCTTCCTTCCTTTATTTATTTATTTTTTTAAGTAAACCTTTTTCTTTGAAGTGAAAGTTAGCCCTGACACATATTTTTCTGCTGCTACATTCAAAGCATTTTATTTTCATAGATATGCTTTGAATATAGAGACTGGAGAGTTATCGTCTTGTGCGTACAGTTTTGCTTTTGAGGCTTTTTTTTTCTGTGTGTGTGTGTTTTCTTTTTTTTTTCTTGAGTTATTATCTAGTTCAGATAGTCCATCTTTAGAACACATCTGTAGGGCCTGGCACTGCAAACCAGCGTCAGATCCTTGTGTAAAATGTCAACTCTTCTTTGCTGAATGTTCGCCCTCAGGGCTTTTCCGTCCTGTGTTTCTCCAGCCTCAGTAGAACGGGTGACGAGGTTGTGGGAAGACAGCGCAGCTAACCGTGCCTTAGGAAGATCGGAGGCTACATTTTCTATAAATACATTCTACCATCGCTCTTTTAATGTTGCCACTGATCCCGATGTTTTAATGCGTTTTTGTTTCTTTGTTGTGCGTGCCTTGTTTTCTTATTTTGTCACGTTCAAGATCCGTTAACGGGATGTGACAGCTCCCAGAATAACCCTCTCCTGAAGCCATGGTCATTCAGTGTGTGGAGGGGGACAAAGGACATAAAATTTTCTTTTAGGCTTTTTTTGACCCACTTTTCTCTGCTGCTTTTATTTCCATTCAACTCATTACCTGCAAAAAATAAAAAAAATCCCCCCCATCTAATACATGAGGTATAAAATGTAAGAAACCATTTTAGAAAAAGTCAAAAATCGTCAGTAAGGCTGGATTTACATTAAGCATTGTCGTCAGCTGTCGAGACTTATGGTGCCTTTTGAAAGAATTTCCACTATGCAGACATACTCTTCAGTTAATTGGATAAGATGTAGCATGATCAAGAAAGATGTTTTAAAAGCTTTGATGGGTACGTCTGAAACACCATCCATCCATCCATTTTCTTACACCCTTGTCCCTCAGTGGGGTCGGGAGGGTTGCTGGTGCCCATCTCCAGCTAACGTTCCGGGCGAGAGGCGGGGTCACCCTGGACAGGTCGCCAGTCTGTCGCAGGGCAACACAGAGACAAACAGCCATACATACACACACTCACACCTTGGGGCAATTTGGAGAGGCCAATTAACCTGACAGTCATGTTTTTGGACTGTGGGAGGAAACCGGAGTACGCGAAGAAAACCCACGCATGCACAGGGAGAACATGCAAACTCCACGCAGAAAGACCGGGGCTGGGAATCGAACCCAGAACCTTCAACAGCTCTACCAACTGCGCCACTGTGCAGCCCCATCTGAAACACGTGGTATTCATATGTATGATTCCCCCAGAGTCAAAACTTTGTAAAATATAATTTGCTACAATTACAGCTGCAAGACTTTCTGCATACCTGTCAGCTTTGAAGCAGCAGCAGCAGCAGAAGAAGAAGCAGACATCCCTAACTTCCATTTTTGCTGAATAGCTCAAGCTTTAACAGACTGGACACTAAGACTGTGTTCAGTGGGTCCTTAAGGAAATTTAGGTCTGGACAATATGGACTCTTACCACAATGTTTTGTGGTACTTTTGTGATAACAATAAAAAAATATGATATTTATTGCTGCTTTATTGGATAGTTAAAAAAGGTGCAATACTCAAGAACACAAATACTGTTATTGAAAAACATTCCCTTATAAAATAGGCTTCTTCAGGACGCCATTTATTTAAGAAATGTGATTTATAGCACTAACCTGCACAAATTGCACATTCTTTCTAATTTACTGGCATTTATTGATGTTCTTGTTGAGCAAACAGTGGAGAAAATGATTTAAAAAAAACAACATTTCTGACGGTGTTGTCAGTTTTGCTTTTTTATTTGATGTCATTAATTGAAATTTATCGAGACAATGAAAAATCAAAATTCTTATCACGATAAGACGTTTTTCCACAACAAACGATAATCAATCCAAAAATATCTGACAAAATGCCCAGCCCTCGTCTGGATTTTGACTTTTTAAAAGATTCAGATCTGCTGTTGATCGCAGCACATGATAAATGCATCATCGTAGTTTGTAGTATCATTAATTATTACATTTACTTACTTTTTGCGCTGTATTCTGCAGTGGATGAACAAAGCCCAGTAACTTGGGTGAGGTTTCCAGCACACCTCCTCCTGTCTGAACGTCTCTCCTTCCTCAGCCTGTCAGTTTAGGTTCAGTTCACATCGGAGGTCATGGTGGCCTCGATCACACATACTAAACAGCTGGTTATCTGATGGACAAAAGTGGTGAATAATTGTGAAGCGGAGGGAAAACGACACCTGGTTCTTAAATGTTTTTGCATGTTAAACGCCTAAAAATTGTGGCATGCATTTGTATCTTCACCCCCTTTTACTCTCACAGCCCTCAGTAAAATCCAGTATATTCAATTTCCTTTAGAAGTCACCTTGTCGGCTGGCAGATTGTCTGATTAATCCTCTCTTTGCCCTGCCAATTTTTGGTTCACAGCTAAGTCTCTTGGAACATTTGTCACACGCTTTCCATTTTTTGGACAGTGGACTGAACATTGCACTGTCAGATTTAGGAGATAATTTCAAAACCTTAAAATTGGGCCAATTCCGCAGTGTCGTCCGTATAGTAAATTGGTGATTTACCGCTAATCATTTGATTTGCGTGGACTTCGGGTAATGTAGACGATGGTCTCCTGCTTTTAATTACGCAAGAGCAGGACAAGTCGGGAGAATAAAGCTGGTGCAACTCAGACCGCCACACATCTTTAGGATTGCTGCCATCAGCAGAGATAGCTGAACATTGTTCTTAGGTCATTAGTCATAAAGGAAACCCATGTTTATTTTTAAAGTTTGTCATCCGAACTGTCAACAAATGCTCAAAGCTTCGCTTGGAGCCGTGTGAAGGGAGACAAAGCTATCATTTTCTGAAATGCGTTGTCAGGCTGTGTCTGTGCTTGGCTCATTGTCCAGGCAAACAAGAGGACCCATAAATAAAATACACATTTTTCAGAAAGCTGCTGTGATGGATTTTTCATTTATGCTATTTTATTTATTTATCCATTCACTGATGTACAGTCACTTTACGCTTCTCCTCCCCGTCACATCTGATTTCCTTGTTGTATTCCAGTGGTGTTCATGGGCAGCGAGAAGTACCCGTCAGAAAACGGCTTTGATGCGTTCCTCAAGAAGCACGGCGGGAGCGACAACGCCTCCACCGACTGCGAAAGGACCATCTTCCAATTTGACGTCCAGAGAAAAAGCTTCAAAGAAGCCCTTGACAGGTCTGGAAACGAGAGATTTCCTTTGTCTTTGTGTGTTTTTTTTTTTTTTTCTTTTCTTTTTTTTTGCTGCTGTCACCCTTCACAGGCGAACTTATTGAGAGCTTTTGCTTGACTGACGGATAAACAGAAAAGAAAGAAACAGAGCAGGAGAAGATAATTCAAAGAGGCCATTTAGACACCGTGTAAACATGATTCTGCTTGATTTTAGCAATGCGTTGAAATGACATGTGGGCACTATCCTTGTCCAGCTGTTAGAGTATAAAATCTGTTGGTGTCTTGCACACTTTGGATGATGTTTAGGAAGTTATTTTCTTCCCAAATATGTGCAAGCCAGGAAAATCTGGAACAACATTTTTTTGTGTTCTCAAAGACCAGTGCTGTTTGCAGCTCAGAGTTTTTAAAATAATTTTATCTTATCAGACAAATTGTCTCATCTGTATTTTAAATTTAATTGCATTTTTTCCCCCTTATAATGTAAAATACAAATTTTGTGCAGCTTTGTACAACTGGACTAATTGGTATTTTTATTTGCAAATACAACATTTAAATCCAGTCACTCATGTCCATCTTACAGTTGAGCCCAAAATTATTCATACTTTAGATTTAAAATGATTTTTGTTAAACTGAGAAGTTTGTTTCTCTGCACCCTTCGAAACAATCTATTGAACAACCTTAGTTTGCTTTACGGAAATCAAATGGTGTGATAATAGTTGCACGTGTCCACTGGTATTTTAACGATTTATCTTTGGTGATTTTGACTAATTCTCCATTTCTTTTTATCTCCATGTCTTGCTAAGCAAGCTGCTAATATAAACTCTGCATGGTGTTTGTTGTTCTCAGGTGGGCCCAGTTCTTTATCTGCCCCCTGATGATCCGAGACGCCATCAACAGGGAGGTGGAGGCGGTTGACAGCGGTGCGTCTCTCTGCCGCTGCATACCCCTTGCTCTGTTCTGAGATGATAAATCGTACCTCATCTATTTGGGGTTATAAACATCGCAGCTGCTCATGTAGCTCTTTTATACTCCATCTATTGTTGTGTTCTTTTCTTTTTTAAATCCTTTGTCTGCTCCTTGTTTGTGTTTTGTTTTTCCTGTCAGAGTACCAGCTGGCTAAGCCGTCCGACTCCCACAGGAAGGAGATGCTGTTCGGCAGTCTGGCCAAACCTGGACACCCTATGGGCAAGTTCTGCTGGGGTAAGTCTGGAAAAACCACCACTGGGACACTTAACACACACTGGGCCTCCTTGGAGAATGTGCAGCAATAACACACAGGTGTAGTGAATAAAACGCCAATTTTCCAGCTTCATCTCTCTGCATTCAATCTTTGCTGCCCCGAAACTATCTTTGGTTCTTGTTAATCCATTCTAGGTAACGCTGAGACACTGAAGCATGAGCCGAAGAAGAAAAAGATCAACGTGTACAAGCGTCTGTTTGCCTTCTGGAAGGAGCACTACTCTGCCCACTACATGACTCTGGCTGTTCAGTCAAAAGGTCGGAAAAATCAATCCCGTTTTTCATTCATAAAGGCGCATTTAGTTAAGAGAAATTAACTCGATCCTCTAACTTATTTCATGCGGTGAAACAAACTGATTCCTTGAGAAAAAAAAAAGGCAATCTGCAGGTTCATAAATTAAACTGGCATTTGCACAAATAAGGTTCCTCTTCATCCATGTGCAGCCAGCTGGAGATAATTGCTGTCAGATAAAAATTATCCAACAGATTTTCAGGGTTTCGCTGAAAATGTCACGCAGGTAATTAACTACTTTATTCCAGTAAAATATTGACAAGTGTTGAATTTTTTTTTGTGCTCCGAACTATCATCCTCATTAAACCAATGAGTTAATGGTCCTCAGTATAAATATGATCCCTTCCTGTTGGGAGTCGTGTGTTTTTCTCAATCTACGGCGGTGTTGGCTGAAACAGATGTGTCACAGTTGTCCTAATTAGAAAAGCAGGAGACAACGTGTTAGACAATAAAACGTCTAAGAACTATCGGAACATGGTAATACAATCAAGTTCAAGTGTTTTCGAGCGACACACAATTTCTTAATTTCTTTTTTTTTTATGTTCGCTCCGCAGCTAAATCCTTTTTGTTAAGGAATAAGCCTGATAATAATTTGCGTTATAGCAGTAGGGAAAACATAATGTTTTATTCATTTTGATGGTAAGCAGGAGTAGGTAATAAACTTAAAACTTTATTACAAATACTTCATAAACTTTATAGTGGTGGTGAAAAAGCATGACTAAACTCAGCAGTGTTTTTGGCTGTAAAGCGCTCACTGCATGCAGTCTAGAAGCCCTTGTTCTAAACCATAAACACTATTTATTGTTCTCCTCATGGAAATATTGAAAACAGAGTTGCTCTTAAAGCAAAAGTCAAAATTCTAACTAAGGATGCTGTGTGTAGTTTTAAAACATCACATTGTTTGTGTTGTTGTCAGGTTCACATGGTGTGATGAGCTTGTTAGGATTCCAGTACACAAATTTAACATTTTGTAATTTATTTTGTTTTGATAACCAGCTCCTAGCTTGCTAATTGTACTTTTAAAACCTTTACCGCTGTTGTTGTTGGCGCTTTTCTTTCTGT